GGGGTGAAAGACATTAATATCTTCACTGACCATCAACCCTTGACCTTCGCAGTTTCGGAATCTAATCCAAATGCGAAAATCAAAAGGTGGAAAGCGCGCATTGACGAGTCTAATGCACGTATCTTCTATAAACCTGGCAAGGACAATCTGGTTGCGGATGCCTTGTCAAGACAGCAGCTCAACGCTATAAATGAGCAAGAAATTGAGTCCTGCGCAGCAACGATCCACAGTGAGGTATCTCTCACCAACACCATTGAGACGACAGACAAACCCTTGAACTGTTTTCAAAACCAGATAGTGCTAGAAGAGGCGCGTTTCCCCTTAAAACGAAGTTTTATTCTTTTTGGAAATAAGAAACGCTACTTGATCAGCTATACATGCGTCGAATCGCTGCTAGACGAGCTCGAAGATGTAGTCTCACCCAAATGCGTAAATGCTCTCCACTGTAATTTACACACGCTTGCAATGATACAAGATGCATTGGTGCGAAGATACCCAGCCACAAAGTTCTGGCATTGCAAAAATCGCGTAGTGGACATATTTGCGGTTGGAGAAGGAAGGGAAATCCTCACAGTCGAGCATAATAGGGCCCATAGGTCTGCACAGGAAAATGTTAAGCAGGTACTCTCGGAGTACTACTTTCCACGGATGGCAAAAATTGCCAAGGAAATAGTACAAAACTGCAAAACATGTGCTAGGGCTAAGTATGATAGACACCCCAAAAAACAAGAGCCACAAGAAAAGATAGAAGAAAAGATCAGAAACGCTCAGACGACGCTCAGAGCTAGGGAGAACGCAAAGCGGCAGAATAGAGTCTTCGATGTTGGTGACAAGGATTTGGTCAAGTCCAACCGACGGCTCGGAAACAAACTCACACCTTTATGTGTCGAGAAGGCCGTGGAAGCAGACCTGGGGACCGAGGTCCTCATTAAAGGAAGGGTGGTCCACAAGGACAACCTAAGATGACTCCCTTGTTTTTTTATTACACCTTTTATTATAAGCCGCTAGGCAATTTAGAATAAGTTAGATATAGTTTTTCAATTTACCTTTAGCCACTTGGCATAATTTTTATAAAACAATTTGGTGGCGGGTACACCCGATGCCGGTCATTTAGAGTAGATTAGGTCCACTGAAATGCGACTAATGAATGCCAACAGTAGACGGATAGAAGTAAACACTGAGGTTCAAGACCAGCTTAACCAGTTAACATTTGCTGTCAATGGAGTTCTCGGGATAGCCAAAACTCACAAATTGATTTATTTATTTGAAACACTGAAACACTGTCCAGAAACAGAATGCGGACGATCGAGTTGCAAAGTTTAATGCTTGCTATTACTCTCGCGAAGGCTCATTGTTAGCCCAAACATTTTGGACTCCTCAGATTTAAAATCAATTTGGCTAGAGGAATCCGTCAACACTATACATTTTATAACCAAATTCCCAAAAATTAAAAAAGCCTGCAGAAAAATTACGATTTATCCTGTCGTCCACAAGAACCAGCAACAGCTCTATTCGCCCCATAGTTGGATGCTAAGCCAGAACCACAGCATGCAAATCTACAAGCGGAATCGTTGAGGAAACCCCCTTGTTCACGGCACCACCACCAACAGTAGAAGCTCATCAGCCAGCAACAACTAACGAACTCTTCGCGGCGGCAGAGCCAAGCGACTCTTCATCCATACTAGAACCAAGTCAAGAAATCCCCAAAACACCGCCAACTGCATTAATTCAAGAAGTTTCACAGCCACAGGTTGCTCCAACCGCTGCCCATCTCTGTCGACACCTGCCACGGCTGCCGGCTCATCCTCATCCTCATCGGCAGCGGCGTCACGTCAACTGCAGCTGCCGGCATTGTCGGCAGTTGCCGCACGGCAACAGCAGCTACTGCTGAACGGCTCTCTGAAGAGCAAGACGAAGACATTTCCTGCGTATCGAGCATCGGTGCGCAGCGAGAGCGACGACAAGGAGTACAGGGCGGCTAGCAGCAGCAGCAACACGATACCGACGACGGGCAAAAGTCGGCCAAGATCAGCGGCAAGAACTGTAACAATCTGCTGCACAACGCCGGCAATAAGCTAAGCGTGAGCAGCAACTCCTTCGGCCTATACGCAGCATCTGGCATCATCGCCCAAGAGCCCTGTCTCCAGCAACGGCCATCTGAACAAATACTGCCTGACGGACTTGACGCGCCGCAAGGCCGAATTCAATCGCCAGCTGAGCGCGCCGACAGACTACACACATCACTCGTCCAGTAACGGCTCATAGCATCGCTGGAGTGGTGGGACACAGTCATCACGGCCATCACGGGCACGTGCACGGCCAGTCATCGACGGCGCCAGCCACACTCAAGTCGCTGCAGCTGCACAACTTTGGTATGCATCATCCGATGCCAAGGCCCACGTCCACGTCGTGCACCAACAGCTTCAACAGACGCCACATACGTAGGCGCAAGAGCAAGCTTAGTAAGCGCCTGCTGAACGGCGATAGCGAAGAATCAGTACGCTGCTCATACTGCTCCGTATTGAATGTGAATGAGAACGACTTGCGGATTTCATTCGAGAACACCTGCACCGACTCACTGGTCACCGCTGCTAATATGCGACCAAGGAACCGAAATGGTGCACTTTGATGATGTGTCGTTGTACGGCACTCCGAAAGAGGAGCCATATGCTGTGCTTTAATCTGCATTGGCTTCACTCTTTGGTGGATCATCGACGCAAAGAAGTCCGCGAAGCACTTGCGAGGAGTCGTCGCTGGAATTGGGTCGGTCGAGGACGACCTTACACTTGAGGGGGGGGTAGTTAACTTATAACACTTAGTTAGCTTATAACACTCAATGTAAGGTATTATTCAACACTTATTATCGGGTGCTAGACAAGTTAAGGAACAGCCCTGGCAAGGGCAACTCTACTTACGCCGGTGAGGCTATGATTTGTAAAAATATAGATCAGTCTCGTGTTTTAACTCGTACTGATAGGACATGCTAAAAATTGGTGTCATATAAGTAAAACTAAAAATAGTGAATATAATAAGAAAAACCAATAAAATTAACTGTTTCGATTATTCAAAAAAGAACAATTAAAAGCAGGGTTAAAAAGCGTTCTTCCAGTAAACCGCTTAAATAAATATTCACTCCGTCATTTGCTCGTTAAATGGCTTATTTCATTGTCTGAGCCCGAGGCCAGCAATAAGAGGCACAGTCGCCTCTCAACCTAACTTTCAGTCACCACAGGACTGGAAATCATATAACTGGCGCCCAACGTGGGGCGGACTCCACAACCAACAACAATTAAGACAGCAGCGCGGGAGCTGCAATTGACAGATCTTATAAAGGGATTTTTTTTTGTTTGTTTTGTGTTAGTTGAATCTTGTAAGTGGATACTCTAGCCAAAATTTTTCTTCAAACACAAAAAGTGTTAAAATTTATTTTATAAAAAAATAGCTAGGACTAGCGAGTATTTTATATTGCAATTGCATGTAAAAAAAAAAAAAAATTAATGATCAGAACCAAGTGAGAGTGACTACTTTGGGAATTTTAGTGGCAGCAATTGATCATTCAGATCGTCAATAAAATTACATTGTGTTACTTTCTGTGTGTCTGAAGTTGTGCATGCAGTTCTCGTAGTTCAGAACTGCGACGTAATTCGACCCATCTTCTGACGGCCCGTTTTATTTTTCGCGACCACTGACCTGCGCATGTCTCGGTTCAACCAATAGAGAAACCCTCGCAGGCAGTCTAGCGACTCAGATTCCGACTGTGCAGTTCTCCCACCATCAGGTAGAATGGATGTAGATCAGCTTACGGAAGTAATAAGGACGGCTATCAGCAAAGCTTTAGCCGAACAGGCTGCTGTAAACCAGCAGAGGGAGCATGCATTGACTCAAAGAATTAATGAGTTAGCTGAACAAATAGCAGATGCATCCCCATTAGTTAGAAGTTCTTTTTTGAAAATGCTGAAGACCAGACAAAAGGCCTTTGCAGACCCAGACGAGACGTTGCCGTATAACACATCAGTCGTGGCTACCATTAGGACCATAGATGTATATGGGAGTTGCCACATCCACCGCCTAGTTGAACTGTTGAGCTTTAACAGAATGTTTGGAAATATAGTTGAGTCTGAGCTAGATTTTAGGTAACAACTACATAATACACAATACTTAGGATCTGACAGTTACCATTATAGTTACAGTTACAGTCACAGTTACAGTTACAGCTACAGTTACGGTTTCAAAGATACTGAGTTGCAACAACAATTTCACATGAATCATAACATTATCGAGATCACATCAAATTTGCCAGCGAATAACTACGAAAGGCTGTTGCATTTGTCAGCAATTGGGCGAGCTAGGGAGGGAGGGAGACAGGGAGGTAGTGGCTGACATATATGTGTATACGCATATGCATGTGTATGTATGCATAGGTGAAAGTGTATTACACACATACTTACATGCATATACGCACATGCATACATACACGTACGTACACATGTATATATAGCTATATGTATGTATGTATGTATGCATATAGCATATACATATTCGTATGGATATTAAGTTAAATATGAGTTAATTGTTGCTATCAAAAGATTTATCCTACATATATATTTATACATATATATATGCAATTATAATTTGATTTTTGTTTCGTTATATTTCTTTTGTTTATATCGTAAGTTAAGTACATATATTTAGCTAATAGAGTCGAAAGGAAATACTCGTTTCATCTGAAGACCGATGATGCCCGTTAAACTTTTCCAGTTTCTTTGATTTCTTTATTTTGTGTTCATATTTGTTTTTTTTTCATAATTTGTTTAACAACCGCACTGCTTGAGGTACATACATTAAGGATAATACGAGCCCGATCGACTTGTCGATTGCAATTATTTTTAGCTACCCTGAAGATGCAATAGTTAAGGTATAACAAAAAAATTATATATATATATATATATATATATATATATATATATTTATATATGCATATATATTTATCTTAAATAAAAAACAGTTTATTTTCTATCGGGAAACTTGCGATTTCTGGAACTGGATGCGGCGTCGCGTCGTGGAAACTCCTCCAACTACATGCAAAAGAGGGAGACAAAGAGAAAGAGTTGAAAAAGCAACGTAAGTTTCATAGCAATAAGAGCCAAGTCAGTTACGAGACTGGCATGCTTGCAAAGCTGACAGAGTGAGGGAGAGAGAGAGAGAGAGAGTGATGCGAAGGGAGGTGGGCAGATTCAGAGCTAGCGCTATAGCAGAGAGAGAGAGAGAGAGAGAGAGAGAGTGCTTAGCAGACACATAACTGTAAGCTAAAGAGAGCAGCAGAGAGCTATTGTTACAGCACAAGAGTTGAATGAACTGCTTAGAGAGTGCTCTAAGCAGATAGTTCCAAGTGCAAGCGCTGAGCGTGTTTACAGAGTAAAGACTTGGGAGGCCTTGATTGTGAGGGTTCAATCATTCCTTGCTTAATCAGCTCAGTTATTCAGATGTCCATGAACGAAAGAATTTGAAGCAATCAGACGGTCTTGAACGCAGAGTGGCTTATGATTTATTGAATAACCGTGCCAAGAGCAACGTGACGGACTGAATGTATAGTTCATGAACCACTGAATCGTTCAATATCAATTCAATGACGACATATCGTTAATTGAACGATGAATAAGTTCAATCGAACTTGCTCTGATCAAAATGACTCTAGCAGCTTGTAAGACGAGCTGTGGAAGAGCTTGTGGGGTCTGTCAGCCTTCCTCTGCTTTAACCAGTTGTCCTTGAAGTCTTTCCAATCGCCTTTCGAATCTTGAATAGCTTTAACGCAGTCAGGAAGGTCTAGAGCTTCGGGTAGTTCACCTGGGAAGTCATGCCGTCAGCAGGCGACTTCGACGGACCTCGAGTAGTCGAATTGCAATCGTGAGCGCTGTGCTTGGATTCAAGGTGTCGTACTTACCCTTTGACCCGTGTTCTTGTTGCCATGGCGCGCTGGCGGTGGCAGCGGCTCATTCGTGTAGACTCTGTGGGCATTTGGGATTGGAATCAGTGAATGCAACTTTGCCAATGGAGAGCTTAGACAGTTACCTGGTCTCCGTTTGCGCTTCAGGCTCGAGCAGCGGCAACGTGTCCTCGCCCTGCTGCAGCAGTTCCACCGAAGCTAGCGAATCGCTGCCCGTACCCGTGCCAGTGCCAGTGCCTGTGCCCGTGCCCGTGCCCGTACTGGTATCCTTGTCCTTGTCGGCTGTGGTGCTAGTGGTGATCGCTGTGGCCGCAGAGGATTCGCCACGCTCCGCCTCGTGGCACTCGCACTGGCAGTCCTCGGGCTTGACGTAGTTGTAGTGCAGCTTGTCACCAGAGCCCACATCTGGTCGCTGATGGTGATGGTGATGGGCGTGGGCGTGGGCGTGAGCATGGCCATGGTGATGGCCAGAGTTGCGATGTGCACCGGTGCAGCCACCGGCAGAGGAGGCGCTCGTCATGGCCGTCGTCGTGGTGGTGGTTATTGTGTCCTTCGGCAGCGTGGTGATCCGCTTGGCCGGCTTCCGCTTTTCGGGTATGTTCTCAAAGTCGATCCAATGGCCGGACAGCTTGCGCTGTGTGGATGCCTTCGGCTTGGGCTCCTCCAGGCTGGCGGGCGCCTGGCCGACTGGTGTGGGCTGCGGAAGCGGAGCTGCTGCAGCTGGAGTCGGCAGCAGCTGCTTGTTGGAATCCTTGCGCTCCAGATTGTTGGCGCGCAGTCCCTCCTCGGCGAACTCGAACCAGGACTTGCCGCTGGCATTGGAGATGCGTCGCGGCGACTTGCTGCTCTGCGCCTTGTCCTTGACGGTGGAGTCCTTGCGCGGCAGGCTAATGCGCAGCTTCTCGCCACGCACAGGTCCGCCCGTGTAGCCGGCCTCCAGCTCGTGCGGCGACTCCTGTGGCGTCATTATGCCCATGCCCGTGCAGTACTCCTCGAGGTGGGAGGGATTCAATGGCGTGGTCGAGCGTGGCCGGTCTACGGGACATGTCTTCAGCTCCATGTTGGCGCGCTCCTTCATGGGAATGAGCGGAACGCCCTGGGCCCGCTCCTCGGGCAGTGTTGTGGGCACATAGGGAAGCTCGTCGTCAAAGGACTCCTGGGAGACCAGGCCGGTGCTCTCGTGCTCCTCGATCAAGCACACGTTGCGCGGAAAATGATGCCGTTTCGCATCCATGCCCATTGGCACGGCCGTCGTCATCGATGAGCTGCCGGCCATGTCCGAGTCGCGTTCGCTCTCCGACGACTCAATGGGCTCGTGCTCGTCCGTCGAGTGGCGCTCAGAGCGCTCATCGTGTGTGGGCGTTGGCGACAATGCCTCCATCTCCTGCAGCCCTTGCAGTCCCTGCAGCCCCTGCAGCTCCTGCGGCTCTGGTTCGGCTCTCATTTCCGACTCTGGCTCTGGATTCGGCTCCGGCTCCGGCTCCGGCTCCGGCTCTGGCTCCTGCAGAGTCACGCCGGTTGCTAAAAAGGAGGAATACACAGATTCGGAATTGGACAGCACTCGAACGTAAGACATGGCTAGACTCTTAGTAACCTAGAATCTTTCTACGATTATCCAACTAATAACAGAAGAGAATTTAACTATTTATTTAATATATTTATTTTTTTAATTTATTCTTATTTGTTTGTTAGGGCCGATGTAAAAATACTGAATTGAAGTTGTCGAAGTCGAAGCTTGCTTGGTTCAAGGAGTACAGTGAGCCCTCGGCAATGGCGACCTGGCTTGACTCGCTTGACTTGTTTATTTATTTATTCATTTTTATTTATTTCAACTGTCACGTAATTCTCTTCTTTAAGCTCTATTCTAAATTTGTATTTTCTAGCGGCTTATGCTTGGCACTACTATTTTTCTGAACACAACTTTATATTACGTGTCTTTATCAATGTCACCTATAAAGCTTATATATCTTTATACATATTTATATATGTATATTTATACATATATGCACTTTAAAATTTATGGGCGTGGCACATTGGGCACATATATATGTTCCACAGCTTTTTTTGTGATAGTTTCAAATATTGTGAACAAGTCACTGTTCGCTTCGTGACACGTTCGCTTTTCGGGCAGCGGGTGCATTCAGCCACCTCCCACCTCTGCAACAGATAGACCTATATGTCTATGTGACCAAATATCGATTTTATATCTATATATTGTCAAGAAGAAGGAATTTAATCAAAAACATCAACTAGATTCAATGCTATTATGAGAGCTGAGAACTATTGAAAACTCTACGATTGCACCTCGTTAGAGGCACGTTCTAAGTGGTCAAGTCTCTTGATCAATTATTGATTTTATGCTTATATATTCTTAGGAGAAACCCGATCTTTGAAGAATGTAATCAATAAACTGATCTAAGCTCAATAAAAAAGAGTTGAGAACTATTGGAAACTCTACGATTGCACCTCGTTAGAGGCACGTTCTAAGTAGTCTAGTCTCTTGGTCACTGAAATACACAATTATTGATTTTATGCTTATATATTCTTAGGAGAAACCCGATCTTTGAAGAATTTAATCAATAAACTGATCTAAGCTCAATAAAAAAGAGTTGAGAACTATTGGAAACTCTACGATTGCACCTCGTTAGAGGCATGTTCTAAGTGGTCTAGTCTCTTGGGCAACTGGTTAGAGTAAATAAATAAAGTCTATACTAACGTTTCGGTTCCGGTGCGGTCTGTCGCTTGGGCTTGCGTGGCACAGTTGCAGTCACAGTTTCAGTCACGGCTTCGGTCACGTTCTCGTGATACTTTTTGCGCACATCGAAGTTCTCGAGATAGCGCGAGTGGCGCACATCGGCGGCCGGCGGTGCAGTGGGCGGCGCTGTGATTGCTGTTGCTTCCTCCTCGGAGTTGGAGCGGGACTTGTGCTTGGAGCGCATGACGACGGCGCTGCTGACCACAATTGTGGCACCTGTTGCCTGCTGCTCGTCCTCGGAGCTGGAGCGCGCCGTCGGCTGTGGGGCGGAGGCGGGTGCGTCCACACGCCTGATCACCGTGCCCTGGCGCTGGAGTCCATCGGTGGTACAGTCGGAGGCCGTGGTCGAGCTGGAGTCGGGCAGCTGCACTTGCTCGGACAGTTGGCTGGACTGGCTCTCCGTCTTCGAGATGCTGAACTGTGTGGAGAACAGCTGCTCCTGGCTGCCAGAGCCGAGGCGCGTCGCAAACAGCAGGCGCCTGCGCTCCTTGGCAGCGGCATCCTCCACTGGCGCATTGACCGTGGCCACGGTCTGCACGAAGCGCGGCTCGCAGGCGCTCTGCGTGCTGTCCACTGAGGGCAGGCGCTGCATTTCGGCCAGCCCATTCTCGCGCAGCACCTCGACGACCACGTGCTCCGTGATCTGGGCGAGATTGGCCTGCGGCTCCTGTGCGCTGTGACGCTGCAGTTCGTTGCTCCAGGCGCGCGGCTCCAGCGGCAGCTCCTCCTGTGCTGGCAGCGTTTGTATGGCATCCAGATCGCCGCGTGGCTGACTCGCCTTGCGCTGACCCACCGGACGCAGTGCTGCGGCCGCTGCGGCCAGCTGGCTGGCAGTGATCGGAGCGCCGGCACCGGCGGGAGCTGGCGCACTCTGAGCTTTCGCTGCAATGCTAGCAGCACTGATAATCCTCGTTCGCTCCATGGGCGGTGGCGAAGGCGCCGCCAGCTGTTGGATGCCCTGCAGCAGAGTGCGCGCCTCCCGCTCCTCGGGCGGCGTGTGCAGCGGTATGTGTATGACACCCTCCACGGGCTCATCGTAGTACCGCAGCCGGCTGTTGGGACGCGAGCCGGCGGGCGTGCGACTGCGTCCGGCGCCTGGCACAGGCGGCGGTGGCGGCGGCTCGGCGCAATCGATGGGCGAGGAGCTCTTTGAGCTTTTGGTGCCATCGGCGCCGGCGCTGCTGCCCCGCTTGCCCGGCTTGAAGATGGCCAGCACCGATTTCTGTTTGCTGGGCGTCACGTTCTGTGAGCCGGGCGCCTGAATCAGCGCCATCGCTGTCGATGGTCGCTCTTTGCTCTTGCTGCGCGACCGGGAAGACTCACGCGGCGAATCTGGCGAATCCTTGCCCAAGCGAAACAGCGAGCTGAACGAGCTCTTGCGGGAGACTGTGGCGCCAGCGGGTGCAGCCGGCGATGGCGAGCGGCTGGTCAGCCGCATGGCATGCCGCGAGGGCTTCGGACTGGCCGTTGGTGTCAAGCGATGCTCGTCTAGGCCGCCGCCCTGCAGGCTCAGCGAGGCGGGCTTCGACTGCGACTGCGAGTGGGAGCTCTTCGAGTAGACGGGCGTCAGCTGGTTGGGCGCCTCGACGACACGCTCGTTGGCCGCAATGCCCTTGTCGCTGTACATGTGATCGGGACGCAGATTGATGCGTATGTATTCCGTGCCGCTGGGCGTCTTGCCGACGACCATTTGGCCAGGACTCTTGGTGCTGCGTCGCTGTGCGCCCATTGCGTTCGAGCTGAAGCTGGAGCTGGAGCTGGGCTTCGCGGCGCTAGTGTTGCTGGGCCTGCTCTCGCCGTTGGGCAGCGTGGTGGGCTTTGTGCGGCGTGCCGAGGTGCTGGGCGGCTGCATTTGCATCTGGATTCCTTCGGCGAGGACCACCTGGGTGGGATCGTGCTTGGCACGCGCCAGCAGCAGCTGCTCCACGGCCAGCGTCGCCTCGCCCAAGCTCTGAGCGGAGCTGGGCGCCGTTGAGGCATTGCTAGCCCCACTCATGGCGCCATCGTTGCTCTCCACGGGCTTGGGGCCGCAGAACGACGTCTCCAGCAGCATGCGATGCGGCGACGGTGAGCGCGAGACGCAGGAGACAGCCGACAGGCGGCTGACAGCCGAGCCCTGGCTGCCAACGCTCGAGATGCGGCTGGTGCGGCCCGAGATGCAGAGCAGAGCGGCCACCTCAGAACTGGCCGAGTCCTTGCGCTGATGCTGCTGCAGATAGCTCTGGTGGTCGTCGAACTTGAAGATGTGCGGCGACGACCGCTTGCCCTGCGAATCGAACAAAAAAGAAACCAGCTGAGTACATTGGGCAGCAAGGAGCACGAAGCAGAGCCGAGCAGGGCAGAGCCATCATCAGAGCCACTTGCCGCAAATCAAAGACAATTCGACAAGAACCACTCGAGGCGACACTGTCAATTGGATGTCCTTGACTCTGCCCAAAAAACAAGCTAAAAGAAAAAAGAATGTGGAATGCGAAAGTGCGCGACTCAGTAATACCCTGCAACTAGCTGTCATATGCTCATGGTCTCTAACGTCGAAAATTAGCATAATGATGTTATCGTTTTATCGATACTTATCGATTTTGTGGCAGTTCGAGTGTTCGCTGAATATTATACGACTATATTCAAAGCTGGCAGGCGGCAATATATCGAAAATAAGCTCATAAGCTGATCGATATTTATCGATATTGTTCAAATTTCATTTGAAACTGGACCTGCCATCAGTTTTTCGTGTATAAGCTGTTTGCAGCATTTAGAATGAAATTTCAAACAAATCGATATTTATCGATTTTTAGAGATAATTTTGCAGTTATCGAGAGTAAAACAAACTCTTTGATTTAATATATTCAAATTCGCTCATTATTCAGCATTTGCATTCAGGTTGAAAGAAAAGAAAAAGTTATCGATAACTTGAATTGCACTCAATATGCGCACTGTACGGACAGATATGCCCAAACTGATTGCAGGCTACTAAAATGAAGCGCGTCGAACCAAAAGCTATCACGCGTTAACCCGGAACACAATCTCTGACATTCATTCAATCGCATGTCAATTGCATTTCGACTTCCTTCATGGTCCTCTTTTAGCCTCCGGCTCGTTCTCAGCACGCAGCGCGGATTGTGCATGGAGAGAGAAAGAGAGAGATATATGGTTAGATAATCAGAGCGACATGCCAATAAAGTGCGACAGAGAGGCAGAGAAAGATAGAGAGTGGGAGAGAGAGAGAGCGAGACAGAGAGAGTTGGGGTCTGAAAAAAACATGCAAGCGAACTGATATAATTGCTGGGTTCATGGACTCAATGGGTGACTGAAACTGGAAACATTGATACATGCAAAGCACCCGCAGATGTCAACAGCAGCAACAGCATTAATTAGTAAATGCAGCGAGCTCCAATGTCAGCTGCCAGCCATACGGATCGGATTTTAACATTTAATTAACGCTGGCAGTTGGCAAAGTTGGTTTGCGACTGCACGGGCGGGTGGAGGGGCGTCGTTCAGGTGCTTACGGCTCACTTATCCCCAATTAGGGTGCGGCATTTACAGCAATTTGCTGCCTGCTGCAAGAGAGCTTCTGACAAATTTATAGCCAAATGCAAGGCATCAACTTTGTAGCGGCTTTCAACGGCTTAATAAACTTTGGTTTGCAACGGATATTTAAGCCCCTCGAACCACGCTCGAAGTTGGCCAAAATGTCAAGGGCGTAACTGGGTTAACAATCAATTTTTTCAATCCAACCACATATCGATTGTCCGATAACTTGTTAATTATGCGGCAGGCAAAACCACAAAAGTTCAGGCTGAACGCTTGTCGTTCAATTGACGAACCAGTTCATTATGGGATAAAGTTCCAATTACAAGTTGTGCAAATAGTTTGAATGCAGCTGTTGTGCCTAATTGCCTAATTGATTGATTGATTCAATGATTGACAAGCTGCAGCGAAAGTGAACGATAGTCAGGGCATATTGCAGCGCCTCGTCTCGCTTACGCAACTGAGTTAGTCATTCAAACAGACTTTATTTTTTAGATTAATTGCTTCAAATTCCCCCAATTGCATATCAATATGCTTTTTATAGCCTGAACCCATTGAAAATGGACATTTAGTTGCTGTGTGTAATGTGTCTTTGTTGATTGGTTGGCAGGGTTCAGGTATCTCCTAGTCGAGCAGTCTGGCTAAACTTTTGCGAGAGAGGGAGAGTCAGAAAACTACTAAGTATATGCCTCTACACCTGAACTAACTGTATCCTATGCTATATCATTGACAATTCAGCACTTATGCGCCCTACCATAGACGTTCGTTAACTCGTCCTGAACTGAAATTGTTTAGAGAAATTGATATTTTATTAGATTGGCTTCAGTATTTGTTGCCTATCTCTGGTATTTACCATTCGTCACGTCTAATGTGTCACAACTTATTGGGTTCCTGGCGTTCGATGCTTATCTTAAGTGCTGTGCCATTATTGGTATTAGCCTGGCCAACAGCAGCTGCGTAACTAGTTGCAGTCGCTTTTCAATTGGCCAAGTTTCTTTTACTTTTTCAACTGGTTAAGTTGGGGCTCTTCGTTTTATTAAACTTCTCAATTACAGTTGGCGAGCAGCGTCTGTGCGTGCCACATTGGCAACTTTGCAGAGCTGCCAGAGGGGGACGTGGCAACTTCTATGCTGGCTGCCATCATTAATAAGTTTCTTGCAACGGCAACAGTTTGATTTGATTACCTTTCCACATCAGCTTGCCGCAACACAACAAAACAGAGCAACGGCAACAAAGAAAACAGTAACAAGCGGAAATGTTGGCTTCGCCAGAGTTGCCACGTTGTTGCAATTTCAATTATCAAGCTGACTGCCAATTGGCCGCTTTCCGTTTCCGCTTGCCGTGCGAAGCCACACGTTCTATTCCCATCTCCCTCGCTCTCACTCCCGCTCCCCCGCTCTGGCTGTGCTTAACTTTTCTCTAAAAGAGCAGCTAGGAACATTAATTAGAACTTTTGTCAGAGCGTCGCCTGGCAACATGTTAGCAAAGTGCATTTCCACAACAAAATATTTCAAATCTCTTATTCATGCTACATTATTGAATTAAACTAATTAAATCTAATTACATTTCATGGCAAGCTTTTGGGCATTTTTCAAGTTGGGCCACCTTTCTAGTCAGAATTTATATAAAGTTACATGAAACTCAAATTTATTATTCATTCAAGGACTCATTTAAATTTTAGATTTACTATATACTATTTGTACCATGGCTTTTTTAATCAAGTATTAATTAAGTGTTGAGCAATTGTATTCATTCGAATTAGGAACTGATAATTCGTTACTATTCATACCATTCATTGCTAGTTATTACTTTTTATTCATATCCCATTTAGATCTCTCTAATTCTATTCATTTCTATTTATTACTCTTCTTTAGTATCCAGTCATATATCACATCATTTTTGTTCATAACTATTCATTATTATTCATTAGCATTCATTCACTCTATCATCATCATCATAAATCATTAATATTCATTTCTATTCATTACTCTCTATTATATATCACATAATTTCTATCATTTCTCTCTCATAACTGAACATTACTATTCACTACCTCTTCATTAGTATTCATTAATTTCTCACATAATATTTATATATCCCTCTCAATCTGATCATAACTATATACTACTATTTACTACTATTCATTCCCATTTATTTATATTCATTAATATTCGTTGTTAACTATTAATCATACCTGTCGTAAGACTAAACACAGTTTACTCTGAAGTAATACTGAATATTGTTGTACATATATTCATATATTCATATACTCATATATTTATATATTCATATATTCATATATTCATATATTCATATATTCATATATTCATATATTCATATATTCATATATTCATATATTCATATATTCATATATTCATATATTCATATATTCATATATTCATATATTCATATATTCATATATTCATATATTCATATATTCATATATTCATATATTCATATATTCATATATTCATATATTCATATATTCATATATTCATATATTCATATATTCATATATTCATATATTCATATATTCATATATTCATATATTCATATATTCATATATTCATATATTCATATATTCATATATTCATATATTCATATATTCATATATTCATATATTCATATACTCATATACTCATATACTCATATACTTATATACTCATAAATATAGGGTATTTTCTAGTCGTGCTCACTCGCGTGTTTTGCTGCCGCTTCAGCGGCGGCTGCTGCTGCTGTCAGCTGATGTTTTTGAAAGTTTTTACCCATCAAGTAGCAGTCGAGCAGGTAAACTGCAGGTAAACGCGAGTTGTCAGTTGTCAGTTGTCACTCAAGCGTCTGCCCCACTTGCCCCACTAGCCCCACTAGCGCCACTAGCCACTGCTGAAATCGCTGTTGCACTTGCCGGGACGTACTTGTCGCAGCCTTCAGCCTGACAGGTTGTTATTTTAAATTATTAATTTAGCTGCTCTGCAGTTGCCATTGCTGCGGAATTTCCTCAGGCAGCCACCTCAAAGCCATTGGAAGTATTTCAATTTCCTCTATGTCAATTTTCAGCTCTCTTTATGTAGTTTTTCCTACTCATTTTTTGTATCCCTGGCAACTGGCTGCAACTTGTTGTGGCTGCGGTTTAAGCGGTTTATGCAACGGAAATGAAGTCACCCTGGACGAGCATGCAGATAGTGCTGCACGACTATAAGATACCCGTTGCACTTGCAATCGGCCGTGGTAACTTCCAGGATCATGGCAGACTTGCGTATACCTCGTTAGACTCTACGGACTGCAATTGTCTGAGCAATCAGAATGCGATTCGATACTTCAAAGCTTGCAGGCAAAACAGCTGGGGCAAAGGGCAACGCTGAGTTTAGCTGGCTAGACGAAGCTTTTCTTAAAGTTTTTCCTCTTGCATACATTTAGTCTTCATCACGTTGTTTGGGTGCACAGAGTGTTTGTTACATAGATATCCTATTCAAGGCAGTGCGATCTTATTGCCCCCTCGTATCACTTACCTGTTGCTGCTGCTGCTGCTGCTGTTGTTGCTGCTGCATGCGCTCCTGCTCCTCTTTCTTTTGCTCTGGATCCATGAAATAGAGCTCTTCGGTGGAGCTGCGCAACTCCAAGGCGCCCTCCTCACGGAAACCGAGACCAATTGTTTCCTGTAGGGTGCCAGTGCCGACCTTCATAGTATTAGTTAAACACGGTAACCACCCAATACACACGCACGCACACGCACACACACACGCACACACGCACACACAGACGCGCACACACACACGCACGCACATACAGAATTTCATAGAGCAAAAATAATTTTTTTTTTTTTTTCAAGTTTAAGGAGTAAAGCATGCGGGTTAGAAGCAACGGGCCAAGATAAATACGAAAATCAAAAGGAACAGACAAATAAACAAATCAACAGCCAATTTTTTGTGCATTGCGGTGGGCGGGTGTGCATCAATAAGTGTGTGTGTGTGTGTGTGTGTAGGTGTGTGGGTGGAAGTGTGGACGTGTGTGTGCACAGGTTGTGTGGGCGCAGGAAGTCACAGGAGAAAGAGAGAAGGTAAGGGAGAAAGAGAGAGAGAGAACGAGAGAGAGAGAGAGAGAGAGAAAGAAAGTTACACAAAAAGAGAGTCAGAAAGAAATGAAAAACAAGAACAAAGTACAAATAATTAGCACAAAATGATTCTTTAAATGCGACGTCGACGTCGACGTCGACGTCGTGCGTTGTTTGAGTTGTTTGAGTTGTTGGTTCTGTGTTAGCCATTTGTGAAAGACCCTTGCAGAGATATAACTTCTCGCCATTGCTGAGCTGACTACTAACTCTGTTTAACAAAAGCTCTAATGGGATTCAGGTGTTTATAAGCCCATTGAGCTTGGCCAAGTTAATGAAAAATTTATTTGAATTTTTCGGCTTGCTACAAATTGACTATATAATCTATGTCCGTAGGAATCCAGCACCTAAGCAATAATACTTAGATTAATGACAATGAAAAACATGATCAACATTTTAATTTTCATGAAAAACCTAATGCTAATGAAAATCAAAATGAAAATGAAAATTTTAATGATAATGACAATGACAATGATAATAAAAATAATGGTGAATATCATAATGATAATGAAAATCATAATGATAATGACAATCAGAATGATAAATAAATCATAATGATAATGAAAATCTTAATGATAATGAAAATCATAATAACAATCATGATGATAATGACGCTGATAACGAAAATCCCAATGATAATAATAATGAAAATCAAAAGGATAATGACAATCATGATGATAATCAAGCTCATATTGAAAATCATAATGATAATGACAATCATGATGATAAAGAAACTGATAAGGAAATTCCTAATAATAATGAATATCATAAAGATAATTAAAACTGTAACGATAATGACACTGTCAATGATTATGAAAATGATAATGAACATTATTAAGATAATGACAATGATAATGAAAATGCTGATCCAAACGGTAATGCTTTGCTTATAATAATACAAATAATAATGGAATTACTCATGATGATGATGTAATGAAATTTATAGCCTATGATAACCATAATATAAGCTAAAATTAAAATGTTCGTAATGATAATAACAATGGTAATCATAAGAATTAATTACAATAATAACAATTCTAGTCTGAAATTCATATTTTGAATAGAATCAAGATTTGACCACATTCGTAAATGGGCCACATACCAATCAGTATAAGCTACTTGTAAGCCATCAGTTTTAGCCAGGGTTAATTTAAATGATAGCAAAAATAATAATAGGCTTGCTACGATTTTAATTAGCTGCAAGGGTATTAAAGCTTCGGCTAGCCAAAGTGATTTGGATTTGGTCGTTGTTGTTGTTGTTGTTGTTGTGTAGCTGTAGCTGTGGCTGTGGCTGTGGCTGTGGCTGTTGGTGTGTGTAAACGACAGTGTCGCTGCTCTAGAAGCCAAGCTATCTAACCACTAAGCCGGTCTCGCCCCCGGGAGCAGAGATAATCATCGCAATCCCAGGCTTACCTGCTCGAACACATTCTCCGGGCTGCTCTCGCGGCTGTCCTCCTCGTGATGGGACGAGCTGGAGGCGCGGCTCAGCTCGATGCGTGGCGTTGATGGCGTGGTTAGTGTGGCAGCTCCACGAAAGGTGCCGCCCGTGCCCGCAGCCATGCCCATTGCCAGCGGCAGCGGCTGGCCGCCCTCATTGCTGCTCACGAGAGTCGTTGTGACGGTGGCCGTGGCCGTTTTCAGCGGTGGCGGTCGTTGCTTGGCAACGATGGAGCTGACATTGGCGGAGCAGGTGGCGGTCGATGTTGATGATGAGGTGGATGTGGAGGAGCTGCTGCTGCTGCCAGTGTTGGACAGTGCGGCTGCAGTGGATATGCTTGGCGCTTCGCTGGGATTCGGATTTGGATTTGGATTTGGATTTGGATTCGATTTGCGAGTGGTTGTCGTTGTTTGTTGTTTGCGCAGCGTTTGCTCCATCATCTGCAAAAAAATTCAGAGCTTTGGATAAAGGCACTGCAGATAAATGACACACACAAGAGAGACACACACACACACACACACACACTATGTCAATCATATGCTTTGCAACAGTGGCTGTCTCGTGCTCTGTGCCACTGTTGCACTGGGAGCTGGCATCTTCCCCAAGGCTCGAAGCCCCAAAACTCGAATCACAATTCATTTTATTTCCTCTATGGTTTTCATTACATGCGATTTTAATTAATATCATCCATTGCGCTCGCGTTGACCATTTTTCAATGGCTCAACATGCCACACGGACTTGCCGCATTCACCTGCCGTCCCAAAAGTGTCAGCACAGCTTTGTAATTGAATTTTCTTTGAATGCTTCGGGGCGCTCAAAATGAATTTCAAAATGTTATTTCGCTTTTTACGACCCCATTCCCGGCTCCAACTTAATTTAGAATAGTTTCGAAGCAATCTCCCAATACCCTATAGATATGCAGGCCGTTAGAGAAACTCTTTCTTTATTCGCATTACAAATTACAGAGTTTTTCTTTTATTAACTTTTCAATTTATCTATCTTTAATCGGAGCTTAAGATACTTCCATTCATATCCGTCTAACTGTAAGTTGTTGCCTACTTTTCCGCTTCTTGTGTAGGGTATATATAGAACATAAACAAAACTCTGTGAACTGTAACATGAGCTCCTAAAAAAACGAGAAAAGTTATCTTCAGCTACAGCAGCAAAGTTTTGCTAACAGTAATTGAATGCTGCACTTTTTAATGAAATACTATATCCTTGATACTTTTCCCTTTCATATCATTTACTTTTTCATACTCTGTTGAAGAGGGGCAGCAAATGTATTTGCTTGACTCATTTCTAAGATTCCCTTCTGCGTCTCAGGTTCGCTCAATATGACAATTCGGGTAGAAATTGTGACCCTCTAGCATTAGTTTGTATTGCAAGGCTAACCAATTATTTGGAAGTTATTATTTTAAAAACAATAGAGATAGAGATAGAGATAGAGATATAGATAGAGATGAGATAGAGATAGAGACTAGAGAGAGGAGATAGAGATAAGGATAGAGATTAGAGATAGAGAGAGAGAAGAATAGAGATAGAGATAGAGATAGAGATAAGAGATAGAATAGAGATAAGTATAGAGATAGAGATATAGATAGAGATTAGAGCATAGAGATAGAGATAGAGATAGAGATAGAGACTAGAGATCGAGCTCTGCGTAGAGCTAGCGATCCTCGAGCTAGCGCTAGAGCTAGAGCTTCGAGCTCGAGCTCCGCGCTCGCCGCGCGCTAGAAGCCGATCGCGATCGAGATCGCGATAGAGCTCGCGCTCGCCGCTCGAATCGCGCACTCGCGCTCGCGCTCCGCGCTCGCGCTCGCGCTCGCGCTCGCGCTCGCGCTCGCGCTCGCGCTCGCTCTCGCGCTCGCGCTCGCGCTCGCGCTCGCGCTCGCGCTCGCGCTAGCGCTCGCGCTCGCGCTCGCGCTCGCTCCTCGCGCTCGCGCTCGCGCTCGCGCTCGCCGCGCTCGCGCTCGCGCTCGCGCTCGCGCTCGCGCTCGCGCCTCGCGCTCGCGCTCGCGCTCGCGCTCGCGCTCGCGCTCCGCTCGCGCCTCCGCTCGCGCTCGCGCTCGCGCTCGCGCTCGCGCTCGCGCTCGCGCTCGCGCCTCGCGCTCGCGCTCGCGCTCGCGCTCGCGCTCGCGCTCGCGCTCGCGCTCGCGCTCGCGCTCGCGCTCGCGCTCGCGCTCGCGCTCGGCGCTCGCGCTCGCGCTCGCGCTCGCGCTCGCGCTCGCGCTCGCGCTCCGCTCGCGCTCGCGCTCGCGCTCGCGCTCGCGCTCAGCGCTCCGCGCTCGCGCTCGCGCTCGCGCTCGCGCTCGCGCTCGCGCTCGCGCTCGCGCTCGCGCTCGCTCGCGCTCGCGCTCGCGCGCGGCTAGCCCGCGCGCTCGGCCTCGCACGCGTCTCTTCCTTTCCTGGCTCTTCTTCTTCTACGGCGCGCTTCCATCCACTTCTGCTTGCCCTCTTTCGTTCTACCTTCGTCCGCCCCATTATACAAACTTAACCCCAATTTGTGGCTCCTTGCAACACTTTGATGCATTTAACATGCAAAGTGACCATGGAGGATGTGTGCATTGCAGCTAAAACACTCAAATTAGAATGAAATGGCTTAGCTCGACCTTGCGGCGCCAACCATTAGCCAAGTCTTAAGTTAAGTCTTTTTAACCCTGCTGCTAACCACTTTAAGGCTAACCAACCACTGTAACCCAGTCCTAAATGCAATGTCAATGCAATTATCCAATTTAAACTTAAGAAAAACCTTCTTGACGCCTTCTCCAAGCTGAGCTGTACATTCACATAATAGTTTAGTGGAGCAGCACGCGCCCCTTCATGACCCCTTCTCATAAATGCGACGCACATGGAGCCACATCAAATGCGTTCAAGGAGATGTCCTTACACACACACATACATACACACACTCACACACTCACACACAGGCACAGCATTCGCGCTTGTCACTAGAATGCGCTGATTGACACATGGCGCTTGGGAGCTTGGGGCCGAAGCTGGGCGCCAGGAGTGAAGGCGTCAGCGGATTTTAAGGCGAAAGCATGCGTTTATTGTCTGCATGTGCGTAACGAGGGAAGGGGGAGAGAGAGAGCGCACGATGGAAAGAGAGCGAGGGGAGAAATGCATAAACCTTGGGCTTTTTGCACACGCACACACACACACACCAAAATTAATTTGAAGCTGCTGCTGCTAAAAACTATGCAATGCTATTCACGTGCTCGCGCTCTCACTCTCACACGCACACACTTATTGACTCACACACTCACCCCACTCTCTCTCACTGTCTTCGCTGTTCGCTCTCTACACACATACACGCCATGCCGCCGCATGCCGCAGCGCATACATAAAAATTGTAATTAATTTGGATAAACAAGAACCGGCTTGGTAACGGAACATTGTTCGAATTGTTGTGGTTCGCCTTTATTTTTGTAATATTTGATGGTATACAGAAAAGGACACAAAAAAATTAAATACAAAAAAAAAAAATATAAAGATAAAGAAAGAGGCATAAAACAGCGCACGAAATGGGGGCAGTCGAAAAGGCAGCGACACATTTTTTGTGATATTGCATACTTTTCAGCGTTGGAAGCTGCGCGCTGCTCGTAAATGCCTTATCATATTAATTATAATTATAATTTTTAATAAAAGCAACGCACACACACAAATATACGCAGATATACATTTGTGTATATATATTGGACAGCCCCACAGTATGTAGAGAGGCGCTACCGCTGCTGCTGCTGCCGCTGTTTCTGTTTATTGTTAATGTTGTGTTCTCACACATACGCATACATACACGCGAGCTTACACATGGCATCTTTCCTGTTATGTGTGCGCCTTGCTACTCACCGTGTGCCAAAACTTGCCGTTATTGCTCTCTTGCCCTGCTTGTTAGTGTATTGTATTAATATATTTTTCTTTTAGTTGCTGCCAGCTCCTCTACTTGTCCTTATTAATTTTTATTAATTTCTTTTGCCTTAGCTTTGCACCGAAAAAAAAAACAACCGAAAAAAATTAGTGTAGCCAGCGGCGCTGCAAGGCGCAAGGGAAGCGCAAAGTCAAAATGTTTGGTTCACTTTTGCTCGTTACTGGCGTGTGGTTTGCTTTTGCTTCGCTTTTGGTTTGTTCGTACGCGCGCGCTCAGAACTCCACACACTTCACACTCAACATGCCCGCTTCCTCACACTCTATCGGTATTTATTTCCTTCGCTCCGCTTAACCGTTAGACTGCACGCACGCAGCGCCAGCATCGTACTGGGCCACAGCCAAAAAGCTTGCTATGCCGTTTACGACTTATGCCCGGCAGCGTTCAAAGTAAAGTTTAAAAAAGCTCCCATCGCTGCTAAAAGCTTCGCAGCAGGCGTTCTTGCAAAAGCTTTCTTTAGTGCCAATGCACGCTCAGCTGGCTAAGCTTCGAATACAGCACTGCGCAGACAAATAGAATGGGCAGCTTTTGAGAGATTTATTTCTCAAAGCATCAATTACATTTATTAAACGTGAGTTAATGGCAAAAAAAATGAATGAATGAATGATTGTGAAAAAAAAACCAAATATCTTGGATTTTCTTTGAATCGAATAAATATATAAGCCTTTCTCTTACACACAATTGATATAGTTATTGTGTGTTTTTATATGTGTGCTGCGCACTGTGGCTCCACTCCGCCTCACTCTCACACTTTCTCACTCTCTTCTTTGCTCTTTCCCAGTCCACAGTGTGCGGATGTTTTGCATGTTCAATTTTTTGACTGTATATCCACACAGACACATACATATACATACACACTTTCACACGCACGTGCGCATGTTTGCTTTACAGGCTGTTTCCAATTTCTGCTCTCAATCTTTGTCCATTGTTAAATGACATTATTTGGAGCACTTCACATTTGATTTGGCGCGTGTCAAAATATTTTCGCAATTGTGCCTGTTCAACTGTACTCCCTTGCTCACTGCCTACGTCCTGTTTGACAGCTTTCGTTTACGTTTCTGTTTCTGTTGTTTTTGTTCCTTTTGCTGACTTTAGCTTAAGCTGCTCTTTGCTGTTGCTTTAACGGTAGCTGTTGTTGGTGTTGATATATATATATTTGTGGGCAACACTTAAGCTCTGTTTTGTTTAATGGCCAAAAGCGTTTTGTACGCCTGCCTTTAAGTGGCCATTTGCATGTTTTTGGCATTCACCCAGAGCCCAGCACATTCAACCGGCCATAAAGGACATCATCCCCATTTCCCATTCCCTGCCCATAGTGGATTTTATGTTGGTGATAATTAATTTTTGAAACGGTTCATAAATATTATTTATATACCATGCATGTATGTATGTGTGTATGCTTATGCATGTGCAGCTTAAGCTCGGCATCTATGAAACTTACCGCTATTCGATTTTGCTGCTGTGTTGCAGCTGTTGCTGTTGCTATTGTTGCAATGGCTGCAGTTGTTGCTACTGTTGCTGTTGTTGCTGTTGTTGCCATCGTGGTATTGGTCCTCAAATGACTTTTCGAACGATGCAATTGGCGCTGGGCCAAGTCGCTTCTGTCGGCGTGCATCCATCCCGGTTCAGCCTGCACAACTAGGGCTCACACACACATATACATTGACACAAACTTTCGTCCTGCAGGCTTTCAACTGAAATGACAGAGAAAGATGGAGGCCGAGTGTGAGCGAGAGAACGATAGAGTCT